CGATCCAGAACCAATTTCAATTTAGACATCTAATGAGTGTGTATTTTGTTTCAGACACTGGGCTATAAAGTTCTGAAAATGCCAAAGCAATAAGACAGTCTCCCTGGACTTCAAGGAGCTTCCAATCTTGAATTGGTTAATACAAGTTATACAGTAAGAACTACCATTACAGAAAATTGGGAAGAGACACGATTAGATAGGTTTTGTTAAGATAACTATTCTGGTTATGTGGAAGATAGATTTTGAGGTGGGAAGACCACCTCAAATGCAAGAAAACCATTGGGAAGCAATTGCCTTACTCCCCCGAAAAGTTGCTGAGGGCCTGAACTAGAAGTGGCAGTGAGAGGGGGAATGGGTCCAAACTGATTGTCAGGTTGTGAAGACACTCAGATCTCAGAGGTTTTCGGCTGCGTGCATAATGTTAACTAAGATAAAGCAGGAGAAAGGGAATTTTGCACTTGTTAATTTTGAAATAAAGAACCCATTAGACAATTGGAAATGTGGGATTGGCATGCAGAACAAACATCTGGGCTGGAGCTCTGGATCTGAGTGCTATCTGTGTTTAGATACCACCACCATGGATGAGATTGCCTGTAGGGAGCGAGACAAGTGCCAAGGAGACATCCCTTTGGAATATAACCACTTAAGGAATGAGCCAAATTTTGTTTAGCCTGTGATTGAAAGGAAGGTGAGTGGTCATGAGAACAAGAGAAGAGAGAGAGAAGTAGAAGCCAGAATAGTTTCAAGAAATATTGGGATGGGGATCCATGTGAGAGGCTGCTACAATTAGGGTCCCTTTGAACAGGACTTATGACCCTAAAGACCAATTAGAATCCTGATTAGAGCCACAACTTCTGTAGCATATGTATTTGACTGGATTCAATGCTGTCCTAATTCTGGAGCTGGAGACAGAAAGCCTGAATTCTTGTCCCAGCTCCATGTCCTTCTTGCCAGGTGACTTTGGCAAATCATTAACTTCTTGAACCTCGTTTTTCTCATTTATAAAGTGACAGAGTTTGACTATAGTTGTTTAAAGCTCCTCTGGCTTTCAAGTTCTGCGCCCCACTGTTTGGTGCTTTGCCAAGCTCAAGCTGCACTTCTAACTGCCAGCCTCTGGAGGCTAACCATCCAAATTAGATACAGAATTGTATAGCTCTCTTATCTCTCCTTGAGTTGTTTCTGTGTTGACCTTTCCTGCCATGGAGGTAAATATGGGGTGGGTGGGGGCGAGAAAGAGTAGGTCTGCCTTTCCTGGGTTTTTCTAAGATACTCAGATAACTACCTTCTGACTTTGTGGCCTTACGGACTCATACCTTTGCACTGAAGGAGAGGGTTCCCCCACCTTCACCTAGATAGCAGATTAAACTCTTAATTTGCCTATTTATAACTTGCATGTGCTCTTTTAAATGAGATGATTTGTGGTCTGGTTGAAGTTAATTTTGCTGTTATCATCTTACTGAACTCCTGCCCTACCACACCAAGTATTTTCAAAAGCCAAGCCCTTATCCATGTTCCCTCCCTTTTTGATGGGTTGTACTCTGCTAGAATCTAATAATACTTATTCAAAATTTGTCCAGTAATATCATTGTATTAGTATTAGTATTTTGCCTTAGAAGGTATCCTGAATGCAACAAGCAGTTTCATTATTGCTGCTTGTAGGCAGATACTCAACAAGAGGTTGCAATGCCTAGAACTCATTATCAATTCAAAGCATTATTGTTTTAAGAGATGGTTCTCCTAAATGTAACTGTGAGCAAGGGAAATATCAAATATGTATATATATAGTAGCATCATTAGAATAGGACCAGTCTTTGACAGAGAACTGAGAGGAGGCGAACAGGGTAGGGAGCCCAAGGTCAAAGTGCCATCCAGCAAATTAAATAGTCATAGTAACTTTCTAAGTCTCTGTCAGTGTTAAGGTACTTGACTTGAATTACCTCATTTAATCCTCATGGCAAACCCATGAGGTGGGTGCGGTTATTCACATCCTCATTTTATAGATGAGGAAGCTAAGGCACAAGGGATAGGTAGTCTGCCCAAGTTGCACAGTTAGGACACCAAATCCCAAGAATCTATTTATAGACCTGACAAGAAGAATTGGTCATCTTTAGAACTTTACTGAATGAAATATAGTGGAATTGAGCCCACTCAGGAGGACACTGTGTAGTAGAGCTAAGGTGGCTTAGAGTTCTAGAGATAGAATTGAACTGATACCACAGTTCTCCTCTCATCTGAGACACCAACCATGTGGCCTTAGGCAAATGATAAACTCCCCCCTCCGGCCCTGCCCTCCCCAGACCTGTTTCCTTGTCTGTAAAACAGGGAGGATGGGTCCAGGTGTCTCTAAAGTTCTCTGTAGCTGGAATCTTTTGTTTGGGAGAGTGGCTGGGTGTAGACGTTGGCTCTCTGTAGTTTGCATAGACATTAAATAATTCACTCCTATTTGGCCAAGACTAAGAATATCTATCCATGTGTGAGTTGTCAAGCTAGCAATGGGGTGCCTAGCACTAACAGTCATGACAAACTCTAAGTCCTGATCTCCATAGGCAGTAGGGAGGACTGCTTGGAAATCATGGACAACTAATCAGGAGAATTCACCCAGGCAGCTACATTAGAAAGGACAATAGGCTCTGAAAGTATTCCCAGAGAAGCAGATCTTGGGACACATCTAGAAACATTAGCGTGCTGCTTACCAGTTGGTGGGAAGGTCACTGGGACAGGAGACAAACCTTCCAGAACACCCTCACACAGGGACTTCTGCCTGCCTCTGATCACGCATGGTCTGTGCTCTACTTCAGTGCTTCATGAATCCCATGGCAGGGCCAACTCCCGAAGCCTCAGCTTACTTACTTATTCATGCTGATTAAGTCTGTAGCCTTCTGCCTTTCTATTGTTTTCTGTTTCTTTTCTTTCCTTGCTTTGAAGCCAGTATAATTACACAGCTATCCACCCTCAGTTCCCGTAGAACTGGCCCCTACTCTTTATCACTTCTGATTTCATCTTGGGGCCTCCTTACCAGCCATTCCCAGTTGTTGAATGGGCCCTGGAAAAAGGAACAGAGATTTAGGGTCAGCTCTCTCCCTGTTCAATAATTTCAGTCCACTCTGGGAAGTAATTTTCCTCAAATCATTTTAGTACAAACAACCAGAATCCTGTCTTCTATAATCTATGACTTTTCTTTTAAACTACAGAACATCTGAAAGATGAAAGAAGAGAAACAGAAGAGATATTGTGATTAGAACACATTCTTAAATGGCTCCTCAAAGCAGAATAAAATAATGCATGATTCTGTCTTTATTAAATGAACTTTTAATTGTTGAAAGGAACCCAAAGCTTCCTAGAATATAAATACTAAGTAAAGCGTTCACCTGGAACACAAACCCCTTAGTTTCCCTTTGGCTTCCCTCACTGCTCACCTGGGTACATTGACTTCCTGGAGCTCAAAACTTTCAGGAACAGACTTTAACCTTATCCTTAAAGAGCATCACTAGACTTCCTGCTACTGACCACTATGGCCTTATATCCTTTCCTTAGGTTAAGTAGTTGTGCTGACTAAAGAGTTTGGTGAACAGAGTAAACATGGGACCCCATCTCAACCACCAATCAGAGGGGAGATCCCTTATAGAGCACAGCCACTCCATAGTGGTGAACCAGCACACAGAGCAAGGCCTGCGGCTATGGGGCACCATACGGGGGAGATGATTAATGTGTGTCAGTTATAAAGGAATGCAAAGCATGAAACTCAAAGATCAAGTCCACATTTCTAGAGAAGAAAACAGGGCACAGAAGTCCAAACAACAACCTCAAATTCCACTATTGTGTAAAGTCACAAACATGTTCCATCCCTTCGGCAGCCCTTCCTCCCACAAATGGTCATCATTGCAGCAATTTCTAGTGCATCCAGGCATTTTAGTGGAGCTCTAGGGGGATCACTTTTAGTTTTCTGAGTGCTTGCAGTGAATTTACAACCCTCCCTGACTCCTCTGTGCTCTGGGAAGGAGCAGGCATGTGGTGATGGCTGCCATCATGCTGCGAAACATTACTAACGCCAAGAAATGAAATCTTTGGAGCCTTTGAAAGGCTTCCAAGAATGTCAGCACGTACTGCCTGCCCACTCTCTGCTGAATGCCTACTTTGGCTGTCTGCTTAGTACTGAATGTACCAGACAGGCCTTCATACAAAGAGAGAAAGTGTTTCGGGCCCCTGAAAGGGAAAGGCACAGCCTTTCTGATGTGAATGGCGAGACTCAAGGAAATAGTGGCACGGTGAGGAGGGGCCTTCAGGAAAGGTATGAATAAAAGACCAAAAGAGAAAGAAATGGCACCTACCCACATGTGAGACATTCTTTGTAGCTCCCTGCCATCTAATCTGGAGATGCAAATACTGTCACACTGTGCTCCATGCTTGATGGATCGTGGAGAAATGCTTGCTTGGAGATTCTCCCGTATCCAAGGACCTTATGATCAACTGAGAATGAGAATTTGTAAGTGCTGCCAAGGCATGTATAAGTGTACTTTTGTTTCCATTTTAACTCCGAATATAAATGCCATTCATACTGTTGGTTTTTAGGGATGTTCTTTAACTCTTTATGAAAAAAATTGAGAAATGTCAGTTGTAGTATATCTGAATATCTTGGAATATTTTCTTTCCTAAGCTGGCTTTGGGAGAGGAAGAAAAATGTTTTGTATAGGGAACCATCCTCTGACTCTTTACAGAGCTGCTCATAATTCCTTGGCACGGCATCGGCTGCGAGAGGAAAGAGCTCTTGTGGTGTTCTGAGCCTTTCCAACGAGGCAGTCTGATGTCATTGGTGGCAGACGCAGAATGTATGTATCTGTCTTTTGTCTGCACCATCTGTTTTTCTCCTTACAGGCAATCGTTTAGATTTATTCTTCTCTTCTTTCCAGGAGGTGTGCCTCTCCATAAGAGCATGAGCGTTAGGTGTTAAAGGGACTAAGCTACTATTCTAACATGATTCCCCTCTGTTCTTTCCTTCTTAGAATCTTATGGCAAGAGCCTTATATGACAATGTCCCAGAGTGTGCTGAGGAACTGGCCTTCCGCAAGGGAGACATCCTGACTGTCATAGAGCAGAACACAGGAGGACTGGAAGGATGGTGGCTCTGCTCCTTACACGGCCGACAAGGGATTGTCCCAGGCAACCGGGTGAAGCTTCTCATTGGCCCAGTACAAGAGACCTCCTCCAGTCAGGACCAGCCTACGTCTGGACTGATGCACCAGACCTTTGGCCAACAGAAGCTCTATCAAGTGCCAAACCCACAAGGTGCTCCTCGAGACATCATCTACCAAGTACCACCTTCCTACCAAAATCAGGGAATTTATCAAGTACCCACTGGCCATGGTACCCAGGAACAAGATGTGTATCAAGTACCACCATCAGTGCAAAGAGGCATTGGAGGGGCTAATGGTCCCCATTTTAGTAAAAAGGTGAGTGAGCAACTGACTGGATTTTTATTCCAATTTATTTTTTTCCACTGCACTCAGAGTAATAGAAATGTTCCCAAAATAAGAACTTGACCCTTCCAAGAAGTAAGTATGTCTTCCAAGTGGTAAGCATATCTAAATACCCTAGCTCAGCATTATTTTTGCATCATTTTTTTCATTCATTGGTCAGCAAAACTTTTTTGAATTCCTACTATGTGCCAACTATTGTTGATCCAAAGGCATCATGGATTCCTGTGCCATTCCAGGGCATACTGGATCATTAAGTTGTTTCCATCTTTCTGATAGATCTGCTTTTAGACCTAGGTTCTACCCTCAAATAGTTTCTAGTCTTTCTGTTTCCTCCCCCAAGTGGTACAAGGCACCAAATTTTGTACAAGCGCAGTGACGCAGCAGGGACCCTCCTTTCACCAAAAGCTGAGTCATGACCCCATTGGCCTGGCACACCAAGAGCCCACTAGAAGTAGAAGAAGCAAGGAAGCTGGGAGTGGGTCATGCCCAACCAACTTGTTCTGCAGTTACTGGCTTACAGTTTGATTCATTTAAAACACAGAGATACTTGTATTTAGAAAGGAGTCATCCTCTTATCCTTCAAGTGATTCCCATAATAATGTCTGAGCCAGTGGGTGAAAAGAGTGGAGCTAGGATATTTAGAAAGGCATCATGTTAAAAAGAAAATAAAAGAAAGGGAAGGAATGACCTCGTCAGCACTTTATATAATTCCAATGTGATGACAATTTGAGATAAATGGAAATGTGTCAACTGAATGACTTTTAAGCATCTAGTGTAGTTTTTATTCTTATGATGCAGTGACGAATTAAAAAGTGAGCCAACCCTTCACGATGCTTACATTGTAGTGTGTGACATAAGCAGACACTGTACTGTCAGTGCTGGGAAGGAAAAAATGTCAGTGAGCTTATGGGGGTAACAGCCATCACCAAGATGCTGCTGCTTACCTGAGTGTTAGAGGGAGAGCTTTTCTCTTTTGTTTACTGGCAAATTCCAAAGGCCTACAGGGGGTCCAGTGAGGTTGGTATTAAGAATGGCAAACTGAATGGAATAAGAAAAGACCTCTGAATTACAAGAGGAAAGATGCAGCTCTCTATGCCAAAAAGATCTTGTTGACTCTGAGAACACTACAGGCACAGGTGTCCTGCCTCAAAAAAATCTAATTCAAAGTCTGAATTTACAAATCCATATAAATTAGAGAATATCTATTTGCATGATAATGGAATCCTCTGTTGAAAAAAAATAGGGGGGAGGGGATTTGCAGTTGGATTTCTTAAATAACAAAGCCACAAATGAATCTTAATCACCTTCTAACACACAAAGTATGTTTCACAAAACACTTCTCAAGAACACGTGTTGCCTAAGCCCGGTGGGTGGTGGGTGTACATTAGGAGGAATTCCTCAAGAAGTGGTAAACAGCTTTCTGACTAGCGTTGCCCAAGACAATGATTCCTGTCTGCAGAGGATAGACTGGCCATGACCTTTCAAAGTCATTACCCCACGGACGTCAGATTCAAAGGGAAAGCCAAACCAGGCTCTGTCTCCAGAGGAGAACAAGAATAGTCGAAAGGTGTAACTATAAATAAATAACTTCTCTCATTCTTAGCGCTGGTTGTTTGCACCTTAAAAATAGCTCTCCCTTCATCTGAGCCTGTGCGAGGCAGACAGGGGAGACCAGAACAGGAAATGCTTGGCTGAGAGGTGGTGGGGTCTAAACTTTCATTACAGTTTACTTTGGCAGGAAGGTGACATGTTTTCTTTTTTAGACTCAACCTTTTTCATTCCAAGTCTGAAAAGTCTAAAAACCTCAGACTTCTTCCCATTTTATTGGCTGTTACAACACAGCAAATGCACTCCCTTACTCTCCAAGCCCAGGCCTAAGAATATGCATTTTAGTAAGCTCCTTGGCTAGTTCTGGGGGAGGTAGTCCAGGACTGCACTCCGAGAAGTACTGTAAAGGGGTGGACCATGTAGTGTATTGGGCATGTTCCAATCTGATTGTGAATTGGGACTTTCCATACTTAAAGATTCCCTTGATGTTGCAAACAGACTGTGGACTTCAGAAATGTTATCCACCACAGTTTTTTCTACTAATGAATCACTGAAGGAGGAAAAAAAGACAGTGAATTCTGCCTTCTATCACTTCAACTTTGCTCTCTGGGAAACTTCAGCCTCTACCCCCTTCTTACATCCCATCCACATGAAAAGACATTCATCACTCATTAAATCAGCGGTTAGGAAAAGATAATCATATAATATGATCCCCACCCTTTCGTGAAACAAGAAGACACATGAGTACTGTGGAAAAGCATGGGCTTTGGAGTTAGGCCACTCCTGGTTCTATTTCTTCATAGCTATTCTTCCTGGGCAGGTCTCTGAACTTCTTCAGGTTTTGCTCTCTTCATCTGTACAATGGGAATAATCATAGGGTTGCTGTGAGACTTAAATGAAGCAATACATAGAAAGGACCTGGCACAGTGCTTAGCATAGCAAGGGCTTAAAAATATTAGTTCCCCTCGCCTTGTCCTTTCCCTTTACAGTTTATTTTGAACTGCATCAGCCCTGTTTGTGTTTCTCACTCTACACCAAATATGCAAATACTTTTTAAAAATATTTTTTTTATTGATTTCAGAGAGGAAGGGAGAATGAGAGATAGAAACATCAATGATGAGAATCATTGATCAGCTGCCTTCTTCATGCCCACTACTGGGGAGTGAGCCTGCAACCTGGACATGTGCTCTAACCAGGAATCAAACCATGACTTCCTGGTTTGACGCTCAACCATTGAGCCACATTGGCTGGGCTATGCAAATACTTTATTGCTAACATCGACTGCTCCCTTTCAGTGTGTGCCTCTCTTTTTGCTTCTATAAGATTTTGGCACAGAGTGGAAAAGAGCTCCCAAAGTTATCTGGAAACCATATACCCTGACACCTTTACTTAATTTCACTGGTCATTTCACTCTGGGTTCTGTGTGCAAGACCATTTTATCCATTAGGCATTGTGGGCAGAATGCCCAGGGCCTATGAGAATGTTTGAGAGCTGAATGAAAAATTTGGCTCCAAAATATGAAAGGGGAAAACTACAAAATAGAAATTAATAAATACTTAAACAAATGTGTTTATTAATTTGCAGACAGATGTGTAGAAAACAATATCATGTCAATCTCATTGCTACATTTAGGGCTCATAATTAATTGATTATATTTAAAAATAAATTGTAGGTTTGATTTTTCTCACTTTGCAAAGATTTCTAAATATTCCTTGTGATTTCCAAGAACTCAGAGGCAATTCTAAATTAAATGAGTTACTCATAGCCCAGTGATAGTGAACCTTTTGAGCTCGGCGTATCAGCATTTGAAAAACCCTAACTTAACTCGGGTGCCGTGTCACATATAGAAATTTTTTGATATTGGCAACCATAGTAAAACAAAGATTTATATTTTTGATATTTATTTTATATATTTAAACGCCATTTAACAAAGAAAAATCAACCAAAAAAAATGAGTTCGCATGTCACCTCTGACACGCGTGTCATAGGTTCGCCATCACTGTCATAGCCCAATAATTTGAAAAGCTGAGTTTTTAAAAGCAAAAATTCTACTTAAAATGGGAGTACGGTTTGGAATAGAGCCCCCAAACCTACGAAGCCCAAGGTCTACGAAGGTCTAACACAACCTCATTTCTCTACTTCAAAGATCAGTAAAACTGCCCTTGAGTTCGTCCCTTTCATGCTTGATCTTCACAGGGAATCACTTGTGTTTCTCTGGTTATGTTTGGACATGTTGCCTTTATTCTAACTGGTGGGATTAGATTTGCTTTGAGTCCTTCTGAAGATGAGTATGGGCTAAATTATTAACTCATTGAGGCAAGCAGGGGCCATGGCTGCCTCTTTACTGCTATATGCCAAGTTCCCCACAAAATATCAGCACCCAGATAACACCCAATGAGGAAGGCCAAAGCAAGAAATGAAGCGTTTAATTTGAATTGACCTTTAAATAAACTGAAAAGTGGTTCTGATCTTATCACCCATTCACCATCACACACTGTTCAAATCCCATGGTTCAGCTCATTACCTTCTGTTATGACATATGTCAAATTATACGTGGTAGTTTTCCCCCAGAAGGGTCTTGGAGAATGTCACCATCTGTTTTCCGTAACCATATCTACCTATACCCAACAAATGAGCATCCAAAGTGTGATTGATGTATAGTTCAGCTTGTCTGAGGACCTCACTTTTATGCATTTTGCCCAGTTTAGACAACAATATTAGTGAACTCTTCTATAGTAACCTAAAGAGGAAAAGTACACTTTTTCTCCGGAGGGGCATGCTGTTATGTTTTCTCCTTTGGGTATGCTGTTATTTCCCTAGAATGCCTTTACTCTGTTCTATCTGTAAACTCCTATTCATCCTTTAAAACCCATTTTAATGTTCATCTCCTCTGTGAAGCTTTCTCTCTGTACCCCAGCAGTGTCTACCTCCTCTATGGCTCCAAAATATGTTCTACATTTCTCTTAATCTCAAGCTCATGGGCTCATTAAAACTCTAGTAGTCTGCCATTATCACGTGTATAATGGGCTAGGCTGGGGCAAGTACTGCTTCAGGGGTGGCACTCAGAAAACTCAAGTAATATTAAAATTTATCCAGACCCCATTACATTGCTGACCTTCCAAAATGGGACGCAGCCATATGTTGGCAGGAAATGATTCAAAGATTTTAGCCAGGTCTTCGCAGCCCATTCCTGAAAGGTAATATAAGAACCAGAAATAGATTAACTACAATGTTTGTACCTTCTTAGACACTGAGTCATCATAAATTACACACACACACGCAGACACACACGTACACACACATACACACCCATAGCCATTGATTGGTTAAAAACAGAGACCTTCCCTTATTGGGATTGAAAGCATTGTGAAATCTGGTTGCCCAGAGCAACACTCAGTTACTAGCCAACTAACTGCTATATATTA